GTTGTAAACTAAGGTCAAATGACCAGGAAACCACCGGAAGTTGATAAAGTTTTTAGCATGTGTGTTTTGGTATCTTCAAATAAAGAAAATATAGTGGCATGTTGGAGATGCTAAACAATAATAGATATGTGAAGCAGGGTGAAAGTAAAATGGGAAAGCAGTTCATTGTTAATTAGGAACATAAGTCAGGTTCTCAGTATTTGCTGTATCTGCACACTAAGAATTTGATAATGATTCAGCATGTTGTCTCTAATATTTGTCTACAACATAGACAAATTGATGGATGTGGAAATGGTCCAAAAATGTTTGTACCATGTGAGCCCTTGAGCCCCTAGTCTAAACATGAAAACTCACTATTTGAGTAGTAATTAAAACGTGAAACTTTTGTGTGTGTGTGTGGGCAGTGTGATTAATTATATCTGCTCTTTTCTAGGTAGCTATTTTTGCTATGACAATCCTGCTGCCCTTCAGACTCAGATTCAAAGGGTAAGTTCACATTTCACCTGCATTTCTTTTGTTTGCTTTAGAGTACAGAGTCATTGCGGTGTCAGCAGTTCCCAGGCAGCCGAGTCTGACATGTTCACAGAATCCACTTTACTATCTATTATCACCAAAATAGTGAGCGACAAGTAGCTTTCTTTGAGGAGGAGGGAGTGGTCACAAAGAATTCATTAATAGCCCGTACAGCTTTCATGCCATTTCCATCCACAGCACGGCTCAGAATTGTGGGTGCGTTTCCCTGTTCCATTGCCTGATGGAGAATTGGTTGCACTTCGCTTTCCTATTTCCAGGCTCTCGGAATGAAGAGTGATTTGATTGGGCAGCTTTTTCATTTCTTAAAATACGTTGTTTGTTTTTTAAATATAGATACTGACTATAGAAGGTTGCCTGAGTCATTAGTAGTACTGTGGTTTTACATTATAGCAATATGTTTATTATTTATACTTTAATAGATTTTTAAATAGTCTTCTTTCCTTGTATATCCCCCCTCCAATCTTTGGACAAGGGGAAGTGTGTTTGGCCCTTGCATCCTAGAGTGAAGGAGAAAGGGGAAAGGAGCTGGCAGGGAGGGTATGAGGACAGAATATGATTATCCTTTTCTATAGGGAAGGAGTCTCAGTACAGGCATAGGAGGGTTTAAGGATACTAAGATTGTAGATGGTGGAGACAGATGTAGGCGTGAGTGTACAGCAGAGCATCTGACCCTGGAATCATGAAGCTCCTGACATGTCACGTGGATTCCTGTCTGACTGCATTTTCTAGGGTAGCTTTCATGAGTTCCTCAACGCAGACTGTGACTTCCAAATGGCTAGGAAGACCCTGCTCTACCCAGAACGAATGAATGCAGCCACCTCCTAGTTTAGATTGTCATGCTTTGATTTGTTAATTTCTAAACGTCAGTGTTTGAAACAGTAGTTTGTTTGTTTGTTTTCATATAGGATATGCAGGTGAATACCACGAAGTTCATGTTGCTGTATGCCTGGTATTCTTGGCCCAATGTAGTTTTGTGTTTCTTTGGTGGCTTTTTGATAGACCGAGTATTTGGAATACGGTAAGCATTAATAAACTGTCCCTTGTGGGTTAAAACTGATTAGCAAGAAAATATGGAACAAAATCAAGGCTATGTCTAGAAAGAACTAAATATTGTCTATACTACTCTTTATTGTGTTTGATTTACCTCCATGATCTTGCACATCTTTCTGGAATTGATTTTTGAAACTTGATGGGCATTTCCCAAAAGTAGTGTTTTTACAGCCAGAACTAGTAAGTGATGTGGATGGAATAGCATAATTCATTAATCTTGACGTAGATTATGCCCACACTTGGGATCAGACAGACTAGGGTCTGAATCTCATTGCTGTGACTCTCACCTTTCTTGCACTGTGACTTTCTGAGCTTCAGTTATCTCATGGGTAAAATTCAGAGAACAGTTCCTGCCTTGCCACGTAGCCGTGGGAATTAAATGAACGTTGAATTGAAGTACTTGGCACTTAGACAGTATGCCCTCCCTGGTGTACGTGAGATTTCCTCTTTCAGCCTTCTTTGGGCATTGAACTTTCCGTGTCCTATTAGATGTGGAGGAAGGGATGATGTAAGTTTTCTCACTTTTCACCCTTAACCATTTTGTGTGTATGCTGTTAATGGAGACTTTAAAAGAGATCTAGACCAAAAATAGTTTGAGAAGAGAGGGCCCAAGGGTTTTTAGACCAGGCCGGTTGATA